AATAATAATAATAATAATAATAATAATAATAATAATAACAATAATAATAATAATAACAATAATAATAACAATAAGATTTCCATGATTTTGAGATTCCTGAGAATTTGAATAATACCATGTTGGGTGGTATTCAAATTAACTCAAAATGAGAGAAAGTGAATCCCATGGTAATCACTTTTTTGGGAATCTAAAAATTATAATTCTTGTATCAAACATGATAATATTACAGATTTCCATTCCCATCCTTAAGATTACTGCATATCAAACGCCCCCTTAGGGTAATGGCTCTATTAAACTCTCAATTATAAGCACTTTGACGTTTTATTTTCTTGGCAGATTACTTCATACAAATATTATCTCTATTTATAGACTCATAAAATTTAATAATAAACATAATCCGTTATTTAAAAAACTAAATAAATCCTAAACCATCTATTATAGATAATCAGAGCCGTAATTAATTTATATTCATCATCTAAATTATTCTAATAGATAAACCTATAATTTAAACTGCTAATTATTTTTAATTTGTTCCGTATCATTCTCCCTTAAGTTGGAAAACTCGACTACATCCGGTGAGTTAAAACTCAAAAAAATCATGAAGCAATAAGTTAATTATGTTTCCTCTAATTTCTCCTTAGGGAGGTGACCAGTTTTTGTATTTTAATTATCATTTTAATCTTAAATTTGGAGTGGAGAACTTGGCGAGTGATTGAGAGTTAAAGCGGTATCAAAATAGTCGGAATGTCTTTCTCTTTTTTTGTTGAATAGTTTTGCCAGGATTATTTGGAGGGAAGAATGCCTTTGTTGTCGCCCAAAACTATCTACAATCAGCAATCAAGGAACACATTGCAATAACTCTTGAAAAAACAATCAGATAGATTTGCAACCTTCATGCTGATTGTACAACATTCCTTAAAACAAGACCCACTTAAGTCGACGATGGAAAGCTTAATTAGGCAAACCTTCATATATTAACTTGACAATAATTATGTATGTAAACATATTTATATACCATAAAATGTTATCTTTGTATATTGAGAATAAAAAAGCAATTGCAAAAGTTAGGAATTAATGACAAATATATCAACATTAGTTGAGAAGTATTACTAATCTCCAACTAAAAAGTTTTATAGGAATGCAAAAGCATTAATTACTGGTATGAATTGTTTCAAGTTTGCAACTATATATCATGATGCGTCAAAATGAGACCTTACATTTTTTTAAAACGAAATCGTTGCATAGCTGAAGGCTAATTGGCGAGTGCCTAACTCACCTAACTTTTCACAGTCTTAAGAATATTAGATAATCGCAATATTTTTCACAAAATACAAGAAAAAGCTTTTGTCATGACATGACTTGCAAAAATTTAGGGGAATTTTCGACGGAATATGGAAAAAAAAAGTTAACCGCAATTCTACACCTTTGAATTCTATCAAGTTCCATTTTATCATAGTTTTATCAATATGATATGATTTTACCATAATATCGTTTAGAATTGTTTCTAATAGACAATGTAAAAAACTACTCATCATATCGCATATCTGACCGTTAAAAATTAATTTAACAATAAAAATAATATTCACGAGTAGAGAAAAATAACATGCTCCACCGTATAGAGTCCCTTATTTTTAATATGTTTTCTGAAAAAAGAAATTAATCCATTTTAAAGAATCACATATAATGAAAATTGCACTTTTATTCTCACACTGTCCACGTTGTATGCAATATTGCAATGCACCCTATGGGCTATGACTAGATTCCCGAATGTCCCTCAACGTTCGCTTTTTATTATTACATCCATTCATAATTAAGCAACCTAACAATAAAGCGAGAGAGCGGATTGTTACGTTGCAAAGTACAAACCTACTATACATTCACTCAACACATAATAATAAGTCAAAAGAGAATATCATATATATATATATATATATATATATATACATGTACACCTATTACTACAACTACTCACATTCAGATCATCATCATCATCAATGGCTTTGCCGAATAACAACGAAGTAAGGTTGATCGAGCAAAGCACGGTCTCTCCACCGCCAGGTTCAGTCCCCACAACCACTCTTCCTCTCACTTTCTTTGAGATGCCGTGACTTTTTTGCTGCCACATGCAAAGCCTCTATTTCTACGAATTTCCTCACCCGACCAACCACTTCTTCGAAACCCTACTCCCCACTCTCCAACACTTCTTCCCTTTGGCCGCCAACCTCGTATGTCCTCCACCTCCGGCGATGCCCCACATCCTCTTCACCGAAGGTGACTCCTCTGTTCCTCTCACCATCGTCGACTCCGCCGCCAATTTCCACTCTCTCTCCGCCAACCACCCGCAACCCGTCCGAGCACTGCCCCGGTTTGTCCCCGAATTGCCACCGACCCGTGTAGGGGGCGTCGCACGTGTGAGCCCTCTCCTGGCCTTGCAAGTCACCGTCTTTCCCAACGCCGGCATCTGCCTAGTTTGGTTCAACCACGCGGCGGCGGACGGGAGGGAGTTTCACCACTTCATGAAATCCCGGGCGTTGGTTTGTAAGACCGGAGGAGATTTGACTCGGCTTGACTCCGACCTACAGCTGCCGTCTCACGATAGGACGGCGATCAAGGACCCAGATGGCCTGGATCGCGTCTTGTTGGACACGTGGCGGTGTTTGGCATCGAGTACGTGCAATGATCGTGAGGACGTAGAACCTGTAGTACTCCTCGATTCTCATGCTGATAACGTTCGTGCCACGCTTGTTCTGCGTTGCGTTACAAATCAATTGGCCAGCGACGAAAACTCCAGGCCATTTTACATATCAACCTTTGTCGTCGCTTGCGCGTTAATATGGGTTAGCTTAGCGAAATCAGAAGAAATCACAGAGAAAAATTCTAGTGTCGATGATGATGATGGGCCTAATTATTACTACTTTGGCTTCGTAGCGGGATTGTCGAAGCCGTCTCGAGTTTCCATTACCAGCGACCGACTTTGGAAATTGCTTGATTGGGTGTTTCGCACCGGTGAAGAGGAAGGAGTTGTTGGGAGAAAATGGGATCGTCGCGGCTGCGAAGGCCATTCGGAAGGAAGTTGAGGGGTTGGAGTGTGACGCTTTAATGAAATAAGTAGAGGTGGATGATGAAGTACGAAGAATTGACGTCGGAATGGTGGCGTTTTGTCACCGTTGCGGGCTCGACGAAATTGGGTGTTAATGAGGTGGATTTTGGGTGGGGGAGGCCTAAAAAGAGCAAAACGCGGTTCATGTTGAGGATTCAAGTGCGATCTCTCTTACTGAGAGTAGAGACGAAATAGGTGGGGCCGAAATTGGTTTGGCACTAGCTAAAGATCAAATGAGTCGGTTCAATGGCATTTTGGAAGAAAGCTTGGACAAGCTGGTCTGAATTTAGTCATATGACTCATATTGCTTTATTTTGGAAGCCAAAAAAAAAAAAAAAAAAAAATTATTATTTGAGTCAATCTATTTTGGAAGCGGGAAGAAAAATATTGTTGGGTTTAAAAGAAAAGCTTGGTTTGAGATGTCCCTGAAATTGATATTTAGTAACGATTAACAATTAACAATTAATGCTAATGATATACAGCAGGGAAAATATAGAGCGAATGGCGATGGTTCTTTAGTTCAATATTGTTGTAATAGTGGCATGACCTACACGCGCTTTTTATTATTATTATTATTATTTATTTACTTTTTGCTGGAAGCCTACACGCGTATTAATATAGGTTATGAAGATAACATTGTGGATTACAGTGGATAGATAACTTTCCCTTGAATATTATTCGTTTGTGTATTATTTTTATGACGTGTGGTGCCACGTGCGTGTCATTTCTATTTTCCAATGTCTCATCCCACAAAAACAAAGGGGAAGAAAACATGGGTCCAACAGTTTTTTATTTTTTTATTTATTTTTTGATAGAAACATATATTCGAGCAGGTTGATAATTATGTTGAAATGACATCTTTCACTAAAAACGTTGGAAGTAGCTTGAAATATAATAATTTAACTTTGGGGTAAGGACTAAGGATGTAAAACTCTAAGGTCTCGTTTATTTCACCGATTTGAGTTTTCAGTTTCAGATTTTTACAGTAAAAAGTTTTCAAAAAATGTCACATCAAACTTTTTCTGTTACAGTGAAAAGTTCTAAAAAAATGTCACATCTCAACTCGAATTAAAAACTTGAATTCACTTCGCGAACGAGGCCTAAATGGTGATTGGTGAAGGTAAATGTCGTGCACCCACTATAACTTGAAAAATAGGGTAAAATTAACTTTATAATAGATTATACGGCTATTGTTGTCACTTGTTATAAAATAAATAATCTAAAAAAATTTCATTACAAAAGACTTCCGAGGGTTTTTTTTTTCAAAACAAAAAAAACGGAATATATTGTGTTTCTCGCTGTCTTTAAGAATGATGCAATTTTTCCTTGCTTTTTTATAAATCACATATAAAATCTCTTCTCTAATGCGAATCCGTTGAGTAACTGCCAAGGACATCTAATTTAATAACTAAATTACACTTGTTCTAAGATATCCAATTAACAGAGATCATTAAAAAACATAAACTAGTGTGCGTTTTTCTTGTAATTTTTGAGAATATCTTTTTAACTCTTTTAACCAGAATTTATTTTTCATTATTTTGAAACATTAATAAAAATATGTAAAATTTACAAACAAAACCTCATATCTAGACTTAAAAAAAAAAAAAGAAAACGAATACTGTATTTTCTCGTGACTTATTTTCTAGCAACCATCCAAACAAAACTACTAAAACTTATATCTCAATTACAGTTATGGAGCCTTATGATACTTTACTTGTCACGCCTCAAATTAACTGAAATTAGTGACTAATGAGGTTTTAAGGCCAAAAAAAAAAAAAAAAGAAGAAGAAATTAACAACTTATAAATCCAAAACTCGCACTTACTTGTAAGTTACAAAATAAAAGAAAGACAAGCTCGTCCGGGTCTCCTCACAAAATTTTCACACGAGTAGTCCACTTAAACGTAAAGCATATAAAATCTTTCTAAAACAAAATCATTGAAAAAAAAGAGTTTGATAAATTACATCATAAACATAGATTTCATTCTCTTTTTGGAATGGTGTTTTGACGTTTTGTGAAGATTACTAACTGGTCTCTGCTGTTCACATATCTGTATTTTTTACTGTCGTTTATAGCTTCTGTTGTCAGGATCGACAAAGCCTTATCTCTTGCTTTGTTTTCATATTAACGTTTTGTGATGCAGGATCCAAACGACTTGTCATTGTGGGTTGTTTTTTTTTAATGCCATTTGGTTTTTGGTAACAATTTCTGTCGTTCAGGTCATGTTCTGCTGTTTTACGGCCACACGTCGTTTTGGAGTTTTTTTGGTCTTGGTTGTACGCTGCGTTTTAGCAGCTTGTCTCTCTTTAATTTTCTCTAAGCCAACCACCAATGAAAGGTCTGAGCACTGCATCCTTCGTCCTCGTCCGGTCGTCCCCGATCGTGCCCACACGTGTGGAGGGCGACACACGTCTGTGCTAATCCAAAATCTTCCTTACATTCTTGTTATGTTTGAACTTGTCGTCCTGATGATCTTGAAGTTACACTTGTAGTTGTAGAGCTTTAAAAAGAGAGAAGAAACTGAACAGGGAGAAGAAAGGAGAGAATTAACAATTAGGGGCACGTTTGGTGTACTGTATTGTATTGTATTGTATTGTATCGTATAATGTTGTATTGTATTGTATAATTTTTATACAATACGGTCTTTGGTTTATAGTAAATTACATTATACTATTTTTACCATAATATTGTATTTATATATTAGTTTGTAATCGGATAAAATTTAAGTCTAATCATAACATAGCTCGGCTCTAATCTCAATCCAAATGGGAGCGGGCAAGGAAGAAGGTAGAGTTGTTCAACAGGGGTATTTTGCAAAAAAAAAATTTTTAAATGGAGTCAAATTGTATTTTTTTTTAAATTGAGGGGTAAATTGTAATTTTAAAAAAGTTAAATGGTCAAAAATATAATTTTTAAAAAGTCAAGGGGTCAAAATATAATTTTTTAAAAATTGAGGGGGCAAAGTATAATTTTTAAAAAATATACACCCAACATCACTTCATCCTGAAATTTAACCTCAACGTCGGTCTCGAAACCCAATATTGACCATTGATATTTGTAAAATATATTATATGTTTTATAAAGTTAAATTGCATAATACAATCTTATACATAGATTTTTATCCGTATTAGATATCACAATCACACTATATATTGTATTAAATTTGAATATCGTATTAAACTATACAATGTATAAAATATTGTCAAGTATTGTATTATTCTTAAAAAATACAATATGGAGTGCTTATATGATGTACCAAATATGCCCTAAGTTATTAACCCATGGGCCATAACCGCTAAGTCAATACATGAATTTTACGTGATTGGTAACTGTTAGAGGAAGGAGACATGGATGGATTTAGATTTTTACCATTATTCTTACTTAATATGATTTTTAGTTAAATAATTACATTAGTCAAAAGGTATTAATTAAGAATATATGATAAAAATCTAAACTCATAAGTAAGTTTAATAATTTTCTCAAACTCTTTCTATATTATCATTATTGGTAGGCTTTGATGGAAGCAATATGATTGCAAATCATTATCGTAATCGGGAGTTGAAGATAAAGAAATAATTAAGACTCATGAAACGCATCCCCTTGGTGGAAGAAAAAGGAAAATAGATTACATCCTTATTTTTGCAAAGGAAGGTCACAAATGGACAACTAGTTGCTTCCTTTAATATCCTTGATCAGCTGTCCGACTGCATTATAGGAAGACCCACCTTTTGCCGCAGCTTTTCGGACCAACTCGCTCATCTCTTTCACTACCTTAGATAAGGCGTCCTACCGCTGCCTCAATCTCCTCTGCCGTGATATCATCTTCGCCTGATCTGTAATCCAATCTCACCTCTACCCTAACCCATAGTCTCTCACCATCCTCAGTGCATTTAGTTGCTGCTTGGCGTAGATAGGCGAAGTTGCGACCAGCACACCACGCCACAAGCTTTTCAGTATGGCGTTCAACCCACAATGCGACACAAATCCTTCGATCACCATGTGGGTCAGGACCTCCACCTGCGGTGTCCACTCACAAACCTTCCCTCTCCCTTTAGTCCTCTCTAAGAATCCCTCGGGTAACGTGACCTGCTCAGGAGCAAGTTCCCCATGTCGTGGTGGTTTTATACACCACAAGAATCTGTAGCCGCTGCGCTCGATCTCAAGCGCGATCTCTCCCAGTTGTGAAGTATGAAAGAAGTGTCCAATGCTTCCAAAACAGACAACGAAACAGAGCAATCAGGCTGCTCGTCATGCCACTTCATGATCTTTTCGCGATGCGCTTGATCCAATGCCGAGTGAGGCTCACTGTTGAGTTTAACCACAGGTCCCATCAAATAGATCGGAGGTGTTCGCCCGTCGCTTCTCAACTTGCCACCATCATGAGGCTCTAATTCCGCGAAAGAATTCACCAAAATTCTCTAAGTCCTCGGCTGAGTTTGAGGAAAGCGGTATAATCGGCTGAGTTGCTGAACTCGGCCAATCTGATCATGGATAATTGGAAGGTAAAGCATGAAACATAAAAATCACATGTTAGTAGACAAAATCAAGTAGGTAGGGAGACCGAGTTGCTCGGCCAAATCCAGTACCATAGGGGCATACAAGAACATATCAAGAACCAAAGCGAAAACTCAACTTGAGCCCGAGTTATAGCCAGATGATAAGATATGATCTGTGAGTGTGTTTCAGATGATAGGAATGTAGCTTTCTACGGAGAGGTGGATATAGTTTTCTGAAGACTTCAAGAAGAGCTCATGAGGAAGTGGGTCTTCGAGTTGAGGGAGGTTTATCAGTTTGATTGCTTGATATGAGTCCATAAGTGATTGCTTGATATGAGTCCATAAGAGACTTGATGCATCCGTCGTCAAAAAAAGTGAAGGAAAACTTCATGCAGAGATGTTACTGAAATTTGATCTACATCTTGATCCATTATGCGCTTAGCCAAGATCCATTATGCGCTTAGCTACTTCAGTTGTGGCG